CTTCAGTCCAATGCAAAACCCAAGAATTCAAGAAAAGTTAACGCACATGGGAGAACAATTATCAAGATAATCATTATTTCAAAATAATGTCCATCTCTAATTATAACTATCATTTTCAATAAATTAGTAGATTAACCTTCACGTCATGGCTTCATCTAGAGCTTTATGCCTACAAATTGTAAATCCTTTATACATGGAGGCAGATCTCACAGATTACACCTTGTGCATATTTGATGAGCCCAGTTCTTATTGGGTCTGGCCCAACCAATCAATGGAACTCAAATCAACCACAAAGGAAGTCAAGTCCAGTTTGAAAATTTAACCTAGTTCAAAGCCCAAAGAGTCAAAAAAGATTAAAGTACGTGGAGAGTAATCATCGGGATACCCATTCTTGAAAATCAAAATTATCTTAATTATACTTACCTTTTATAGCTATCATTTTCAAGAAACTAATATCTTTACCCTCACATCACCTCCTCAACTAAGGTTCAATACTTTCAAATTGTAAATCCTCTCCACATGAGAGGACACTTCTTGAAATCTCTACATCTCTCTACACACTTCTCGTACAACTTTTCTCTCTTCTAACTAACCATTGCTTTCTCTCTCATCTCACTTTATTAATAAAGGTTCTTTGGCCACCGTTGCGGTTTGCCCAGAATTAAATAAGTCATCTATATTGAATCACTATATATCTGTATGTTGACCTAATATTTATCTTTTGATCGTTGATTGTTTATTAATTGTCTTGTTAATTTTCAATATCACACACTCGACCGTTAATTATGCATAAATCTATTTTGTACATCATTAATATTCGCTCTCTTTTTTTTCTTTATTACCTTGTATTTTTTTATTAATAAAATTTTTTAAGAATAGTTAATCCATTCAAACTTAATCATTCAATCTTTGTTTGTTAGTAATGATTTATTTATTAATTTCCTGCATACCTTACACACACGACTGATTTGATGATCCAAAATCGATTTTGTACGTCGTCGTGATTAAAGCCACCCATGAACGGGTTTACGTTTTTCCTGGCACGGCTCTGAATACTAGCACATCTGGAGTGGTAGGTGTATTATTATGTGATGATACTTATAATTTTTTTGTTGTTGTAAACAAACCACAAAACTTGCATCAAAACCCATAAAAATTGTAAAATTTATAGGTATGGTACCAAAATTTCTTTTTTGGTGTAGTAGTCTTGTGATATTAGGAGAAGACTATTACCAAAAAAACAAAAAAATTGTATCATACTATCAAAATTTACAAATTTTTGTGGATTGAAATACAAAACTTTGAGTTTATTTACGATAAATAAATATAATTTTTTTAGGGTCATATTATAATTTATATAGTTCAAGTTACAAATTTTTTAGGTCATTTACAAGTTTTGAGGGATAATTGAGATCAATCCTAAATCCTCAGAATTTTTAAATGAACTTCTATAAATGATCCTAAAAAATTGTAAATAACTCTCAAAAGTTGTAAATGATCATCAAATTTTGTAAAAAAAAACAAATTTTTTTTCGTTATTGTAGAAGTCTCTATGATTATTAGCATCTAGAAAAACTTCAATATTTATTTATTTGGTACAATAAACTTATCCATAATTCACAGTTCTAAACTCAATCCAGCATATTCATTACGTTGATAAAGGTTTTGATTAAAAAAGCACAAACAATTTGAATTCGCATGGCATGAATTTCTATTTAGACTTGTAATATACAACTCAAATTCAACTCGAATTAGTATAGTCAAATTCAACAAATACATTGTGGCCCTAAAATCTTTAAGGAAAAATTTTAGTCTCATCCCTTCTAATTTATTAAATCTTTAAGTTACACCTTATATATTTTTTGAATTTTTACTGACACCCCCTATTAGATTAAAAGTGTTAACTACAATATAATTTTACTAAATTATCCATGATATATTTGAGAAAAAATTTCATTCACACCCCCCTTAGATAGACATATATTCAATGAAACTCCATCTATTTTTAAAAAAAATTTACTTACTAAAATTCGGACCAATTAAAACTCTATTCTTGTTAATTAAAATTTATTTTTTACGTATTAAAATTCAAGTCGATTAAAATTTATATTTTTTTACGTATTAAAATTTGAGCCGATTAAAATTCATTTCTAATCGGCTCGAATTAAATTTTAATTAACTCGCTTGAATTTTGATCGATTCAAATTTTATTACATAAAATATTATAAATTTTAATTGACTCAAATTTTAATACGTAAAAAAATAAATTTTAATCAACTTGAATCGAATTTCAATTGGCACAAATTTTAATAAAAAAATATAAATTTAATCGACTCGAAGTAAATTTTAATCTACGCTAACAGATCAGTTAGAGATAAAATTGGCTCAAATTATAATACGTATTTTTTTTTTTAATTAAAAACATAATTTGAATTGAAACACAAGTTATTTAGGATGAGCTTAACAATTTAAGCAACACTCCAGTTGCCGGTGTTTAAATTAAATTTCGATTAAGAGTCCTAAAACTGAATTAAGCTTGAATTCATCTCTCAATACATCCCCACCTACTCAGGAGCTGGTAACAAATGTGTTTAGGTATGTTGGCCTTCTGTACTCTCTTGTAAAACGATGTGCATTAATGTCGGATGAATACTTATATTTGTGTAATGAATTAGTTTTTGATAATAATAATTAAAAAAAAAAAAAAAATTGAAAAGAAGAGTAGGCAACTTTAAGGAGCATAATTCCAATATTAGTCATTATCATGTCCACCAAATTGCAGATTGTGAGCAACCACAAAATCCAAAATGTTCACTTACGTTGTTGCCTTCTTTTAGCTTCCAACCACGAACCTTCCTACCATTTTTTTATATAAATATATTAACGATGCACGACGTGCGTTACACGTATATAATTTAAACTATAATTTTTTTTTTAAAAATATGAATTATATGTGTAATTAAATTAAATCATAAATTAAGTGTCGAATAATTAATTTATATTTTAATTGTCTATGACTGTATTACTAATGAGTCCAAAAGAATTTATAAAATTTAACAAAAGAGTTCAGTGCAAATTGAAAGTTAAATAAGAGTAAAAACTAAAAATTAGATGAAAAGAAGTAAGTTGGTATAATTGTCTTTATTATAATAATTAGGGATAAAATAAAAAATTAAATTTTTTTCGCAAATGATGACATTTATAAGTAATAAAATAAATAATAATACTATAGATATAAATATTATGTTTAAACAATCAGGATATTTGGATCAGTTTAAGCACATTTCGATTAATACTCTTCTTAATTCGGTTAACAGGCAAGTCATACCTGTCGAGATTAGGGTATTAATGAGAGATTAGTACCAAAAAGTTGCCAAATTCAAACTCTGGACATTTAAATTTACAAGTCATCCCTGTTATTACTTATTTATTAATTTTTAAACAAAGAAAACTTACTTATTAATTTACAGCTCAAAAGAAAACTTGCTTATTAATTTTGAATTCTCTTCCTTCCTTCCTTCCTATTCCACTAGATCAGTCAATGGATTGAATGTTGTTCGAATACAAATTCAATTACTTAGGCTGATCATTTAAATCCAAATCAATATCTTTTATATCTTATTTAATGGATTTGATTTGAATATTTATATCTATATCTCTACAATTTATAAATATTAGTATCTGCGAAATTTTTTTGATGTCTTAATTTATACTTAATTATTATAATAAAATCAATTATACCTACCTTTATACTTTCATGTAATTTTTTTTTCCTCTTATTTGACTTTCAAGTTTTAACTTGTTTTAAACTCTTTTATAATTAAAATACGGATTAATTATTCGATACCTAATTTAGTATTTAATTTAATTGCACATATAATTTATATTTTTATAAATAAATATTATTTAAATTTATTTACATGTGCATTGCTAGTACATATAAATATATTTTACATAAATATTATGAAACTGGATGTTTATTTGATAAAATTGAGTTAAAATTACAATTATTAAAAATCCAATTCTAAATCAGGTTATTTAATCACATTTCATATCGAAGTTTTAATTTTTAATAGGAATAGCATGATCATAGAAAACTTTACACCAAATCCACTAATAAGTACTTTTTACATGGATCTAATGGTCACTACCCAAAGTAACCTATAATTGTATATTTTTTTCGATTCACGCATAACTACTTACTCTAACAGAGTCAGGTGGAAATTTATAATTACCTGCTGAAACATACCAAATGTGTCTATGCATTAAAAAGAATTTTTAATGTCATATTAATTGTAATTCTATTCCTTTTAGGAAAGTTTAAGAAACCTTTCTAAAATTACATCTTTTAAATTTAGAAACAATTTTTTTAACTCTTATGAGGCGGGTCAACCAAATGACCCGCACTCATTTATACCAATGTTTGTAATTTATTATACCAAATTAGTCTTTTTGTTGTGGATTTTTGTTTTGTAATTTTGCAATTTCTCTTGTTAGGTAAAAAATAAATCATTCACGTCGGGATTAAATTATTTATGAGGGATAAATTCTCATTAATTGAATTTAAAAGATTGTCAAAATTCAAAGTCAGGACTTCTAAATTTACAGCTTTACTTTTTTTAATAGATTCAAATGTGAATTATAATATCCCAATTGTTAAAAAAAAATGAATGAAATTTAAATGCAACTTTCCAAAAAAAAAAAAAAACTTTTCAAATTCATATGCAATCAATACCGATGACCGAAAACAAGTGCACCAATTATCCTTTTTTTTTTGATACTTTTTTGAGGTTGTTTACTGGAACTAGAATTCCACTCCGTCACGGACATAACCGAGAGCACAGGCAGTCTCTCTCTCCGAATTTCTCTGTTACTAGCACTCAAATCCCTTACACTTCCTCCAATGTCTCCACCCTCTCTTTCTTCATCTCAAGTCTCCCCCTCTTCAATGCTCACTTCTTGAACCCCATTCTCTCTCTAAAAGCCCTAACCAAACAACCATGTCCACCACCATCCCCAGTGGAACAGTAGAAGAAGAGCCCCTAACCCTCCCTCTCCTCAACGGCAACCTTAGGCGATCCGCCTCCAACACCACCTCCCAAGTCGCCATTGTCGGCTCCAATCCCTGCCCCATCGAAAGCCTCGACTACGAGTCTGTACCAGACCTCTCTCTCCCTCTCTCTACACATACACGTATATATATATATATATATATATATTTAGCTTCGATTTAGTTGAGATTTTCTTGTTTATTGGAATTTAGTTGTTGGTGGTTTTTGATATGTAGGCTTATAGAGAATCATTTTTTCAAGCAAGACTGGAGGAGTCGAGGGAAAATCGAGATTTGTCAGTACATATTCATGAAATGGATTTTGTGCTTTCTTATTGGGTTCATCGTCAGTTTAATTGGCTTCACAAACAATCTGGCCGTCGAGAATATCGCCGGAATGAAGTTCGTGGTCACCTCCAACATGATGTTGGCCAAAAAGTTAGAATCCATTTCAGTTATTTACAACTTTAGCACTCCAATTTCGGTTAATTTCAGTGTAATGTCACTTTTTTTAAAAAAATTTCGTATGTTATATAAAGGTTGTTAATTTGTTGAAATTTGGGTTTTCTTTAGCTTCATACAGGGCTGATGTTCCTAATTATGCTATAAACTGCTGTGAAGTTTTTTCATTTTGTTTGAGTTCATAAGTGTATTTACATTTTTATGTAGTGATTTGGATTGTGAAATTTGGTTACAGGTATTGGGCGGCTTTTCTTGTGTTTGCATCTTCGAATTTTGGTTTGACTTTGTTCGCGTGTCTCATTACGGCTTTTATAGCTCCGGAAGCTGCTGGTTCGGGTATACCAGAAGTTAAGGCTTACTTGAATGGCGTGGATGCACCAGCTATATTTTCTCTGAGGACTTTGGTGGTTAAGGTAATTTGGGTTTAGGTGGCTGGAGTGAATTGGGTGTCTAAAAAATTTAAAATTTACTGTATTTCGGTGCATTAGACCTGACACATGATGATGTTTTGCTTAATTGAACCTAGAATGTTAAAATGTAATAGATGGGATGCCTGACATAATTTGAATGGTTGATTTTAATTGGGTTCATATTCGTGGGATCAAATTTCACTTGTGTCTGTAAATTTACAAGCTTATATGGTTAAAATATCCAATTCAAGAAATGGAAGTGCAATTGGACAATGGCAACATGGTCTGATAATTAAATAACAAACAAGAGCAATATACTGACAAAAGCAATTAGAAAGTTAGGGATAGTAAATATGAGATGAGGGGAACTTCAAGATGAGAACTGAAGAGGGGGAAGCCCTCTTTTCTTGTCTAATTCAATTTTTTTTTATATTTTTCCAAAACCAATTAAAGATTGTTAGACAGCGTGTTCAAAAGTGGTCTGTTTTTTCCTAGACCTTTCTGAGGCACTGGTCGTAAAAGTTTTCATAAATGCTTTGTAATTCATTCGTCACCAAAGACTAGGTTTTACATGAGAACGAGCAAGACAAAATGCTCTTCTTCTTATTTTGCCTTCTCCCAATTCTTCTTTTTTCTTCTGATATGTAACACAGTATTCTTCTTTTATAGAATAGGTGTTCAGAAAGTGGTTATAAGAGAATTCTTCCTCTATGCTACCAAGAATTTTTCAGACATGTGAAGTGTTTTGAATTGACATGACATGGCTTCAATTATGGGATTTTCATAAATTGTGCAAGTTCTCAAATGTGCCTAGTTTGAACTATTTATAAATAAATATGTACAGAATGGAATATCACTCTGTTCTAAGGATAGTATACACCCAGGCAAACTTTCGGAGCACCCTTGATAATGGGGACCAAACTTATACTAGATAGATCACAACCCTCCCTTGAAATCATAACTCGAACTCGAAATAGTGAACATTAAATTTTCCTCTAGATATCAACCTACCATTTTTGTCAAAGGTCCATCAGTTGTGATTGCTACCAAAGTTGTTAGTATCGTACGATACGCGATACGTATCGTGCGATACGTTACGATACAGCCCTAAAACGATACGGATCGTAGTTATGTATCGTTTTTGCGTTGTATCGTCCGATACACGATACGTTTTTACGATACGATACGTATCGGTACGAAACGCACGATACGTGCAATTTTTTTTTTTTTTTTTTTTTTTTTTTTTTTTAAAACGACGTCGTTTTGTGCTCTGATTTTTAAAAAAAAAAACGACAAGTGAAGACTTGTTGGCATCCGATCACAATGATGATGATGATGATGCATTTTCAATTGAAATTGAAGATTGAGTTCAAAATGGATGTTAGAAATTTGGATTAGAAGTCTCTTTGGTGTTTAAAGTTTGAATTAGTGAACTATGGTTGTGAACTTTGCATTATAATAGTAGTGGATTATGTTGATAACTTGAATAGTTGGTGGAGTATTAATGAAATGCTATATTTTTTATGAGTGTATGACTTTTTTTCAAAGGTATATATATTTTTTTATTATTTATTTAAATTGCATCGTATCTTACGATACACGATACGATACACGATACGATACAATATTTGTATCTTACGATACGCCTTCCGATACACGATTTGATAACTATGATTGCTACATAACGTTCGTATCATTGTGTTTTGATATGTTGTTTAAACAATTTCATCTTTTCCAGCGAGCAATGTAAATTTTATCATCCAAAAACATGATTTTTTTTTTGTTAAGAGCATTTAATTGAAAATCAATGAGTGGAGTAGTCTCTCAAGTATATAAACCAACCTTGGTGGTCCTAATTATTTGATGTGTAATACAAACTTTCTTAACACCCTCCTTGATGTGGGACCCGGGCTCACATGGAAGGGTTAACAAACAAATAAACAAACAAACAACTATTTTTTACATAACTATGCATTAATGAAAATTCAAAATAGGTAAAAGACTTGACTCACTGACCACCTCTGAGCTGGATATCATGGTAGAACATCGGCATCCAACCCAAAACCAATTGAAAATGGGTAGAGTAGTCCCTCAAGTATATAAACCAACATAATGGTCCTAATTATTCGATGTGAGATACAAACTATCTTAACAATTTTTTCGAGACATTCGGATCTCAAGATATTGACTTGGGGGTTGTTTGATAACATAATTCAGCACTTAGAACTACACATCTTCAGCAAATTTGAATTAAACGTGATATTGATATCAATAAAAATCTTGATCATAATAAATAGTTGCCCCATTATATTTGCATATCCATTCTCAGTTTCTATGATGTTCTACAATGCCTCTTTTCTACGCTTTGCAACGCTCAGATGTCTTTCTCTCTCCCTCTCCTTCTCCCTCTTACTCTGCCATAGACTCCTTGCAAATCTACTTTGAATTTATTTTTCAATGGTCATTGGTCGCATTTTTTGTCAATTCCACTTTGTATTTGAACTTCTCTTTCTCTCCTTTTGGAAGCAGGACTTGTGGAAAACAAAAGATGTGAATGTTTTCTTTATTCTTTTGATGTGTATTGTATAAAGTCACTGTTTTGGTGAGATTTGATCAGAAAATTAAGGAAAGATTGTATGATAGTCCATTTTTAAGGCCCTTGATATGGAAGTTTAGTGATGTTTTATCTTGTTCAGATAAAATTACTCTCGGAAATTTATGTGATGAGCTTGAAGCATAAGGCTTTTTTAAAAACATTTTTCAAATTTGATTCTTACTTGCCATCAGTCTTTTGGGAGATTGGAATGACAATGGAGACAAATTCTTTAATTTAATGTCCTGGTTTCCGTGTTAGTGGTGATGTGGTGTTTGTGGGTGGTGTTCAAGTCTAGGTACCGAAAAGAGCTGGTGCTTTTCAAGAATCAATTGTAGTTTCTGTAATGGTGAAAGAAATTGGTTGTGATGTTGTGTTGTGGTAGTGGGCAGGCTACAACTGGTGGTAGAGAGGGATGGTGGTGATAGGTATTAGCGTTTGTGGGACGGGTGATAATGGCTTTCGTTTGTAGTGGTGTTCATAGCAGTGAAAAACAACACTAGGTTGTGGTTGTATAGGTAAATAGGATTAACGCATGCCTGAAGGTACGGTGCAATGTGAATGATTTTGAGAGCAATGTTAGTGGTCGTGTAAGAAACACAGATATGGATACGGATATGTGACATGAGTACGATATAATATGGATACGGCGATATAACAAAATTTAAAAAAAAAGATACGGGTACGATCAAAATACGTCTATAATAAAATATATTATATATTTTACTATTATTTAACGACTTAGAAATTACAATTTTCAATAATTCTTTAACATTAGTAACCAAAATTAAGAATTTTTACCTTAAAAAAAGATGTAATATCGACTCATTATGATATATTCATAAAAGGAGTATGACCAATTAAAATAATCATAATCACATTTAACTAGTTAGTTTGCTTACAAGTATTTATTTTTAAGATCATAGTGTAAGTGACTCATTTTGTTGTACTCTCTTACATTGTAATAATAGATAATACTTAAAAAAACACTTGTGTCTTCAAAATTAATTGAAATTTTATTGGTGTTTTGTATTGTATGTGAACTCCAAAGAATGAGGTATAGATTAAAATTAAAAATTGTACATCTTGCTCCATGTTGAGAAGTATCCGTGAAGTATCCATATATTTTATTAACTATCGGATACGGTTGATGCATATCCGATACGTATTATTGAGTATCTGACGAGTATCGTATCCGATACGGATATTTCGACTTTAACGAAGTATCCGTTCTTCATAGGTGGCCGTTGAATGAGTCTATTTGTGACTGTCCGATGGGTTTATTGAAGTCTGCCTTTATATTATACATGGTGGTCATGGTAGTGGGTGGTTGGTGATCATGGCACCACTGACCTGCAATTGAAGATGGGGAAAGTGGAGTAGTCTAGTTTCATCTTATGAGTGAATGAGAATCGATGAAAGACAATGGATGGATTCATCTGAACATTGGAAGTATCCTAATAACTGTAGTTGAGATGAAAATAGTACACTCTAGATAGCCACCAGATTACTGAAGCTGCAGCACCCTTGGACTAAAGGCCTAATAAGTGTGGAGAATGGTGCTATCAACCTAAGTTACCTAACAATTATTGCACTCTAGAGCTTGTATTGTCATTCTTGTTATTGCAATGTTGTTTGCCCAACAATTTAATGGTAAAAAAGATTAAGATAAATTCAGCTGCAATTGAAAACGAGAGGTGGTTGTTTTAATTTTCTATATCTCATAATTGTGCAATTTTTACTTTTATATTGAGAAGCATTACTTGTTTAGTGACTCCCAAGTACTCCATATTCAATTCCTTTTTGCAGCAATTTACTGTCTTTATACACAGTAAATTCAACAGCCAAAGTTTTGACATATTGGTCAGGTGTTGTGATAAGTTCACAAGGCTTGTGGTAGTCCTCTATGGGATCAGTTCCATTTGGTGATGCACCTGTTGTAATTTAATCTTTGATGTTAGATCCAGGCAAGTGCATTTGTGTTAGGGACTATGTCGTGTATACACCATCACATATAATTTTTTTTTGGCTTGAAAAAATCAGTGAAAAATTAGAAGGATAGAAATTGTAAACTTAATGATTTGCAGACTTCAACAAACTTAATATTGCAGAGTTAAAACTTTTTATGCCTTATCAGACAGTGCAACAACTAATTGAAGTGCCTAAATTTCAGGTGCTACAAACTGGTTTTTTGGTACTTAATTTCAGCTGTTTGAAGTGTTCAACAATTTGTATCAATTCTTAATTTTCTGTGATTTTTTTTTGTTTTAACAAACAGCACCTTAATATGCAGATTGTTGGTAGCATTTCTGCCGTGTCATCATCTCTTCATGTTGGAAAGGCGGGGCCAATGGTCCATACCAGTGCATGCATTGCAGCATTAATGGGTCAAGGTGGGTCAAAAAAGTATTTGTTAACATGGAAATGGTTACGGTTTTTCAAGAATGATCGAGACCGGCGGGATCTTGTAACATGTGGCTCAGCGGCTGGAATTGCTGCTGCTTTTCGTGCTCCAGTTGGTGGTGTGTTGTTTGCTCTTGAAGAAATGGCATCTTGGTAGTGTTAAACTATGAGTGTTTTTTGTTCTGGTGATCTCTTAGTTTTGTAATTCTTGTAACTGATAATTGATTATCTTGGAGAAGTGAGAGTTTATCTATATGATATTGTTATTATTGTTGTGTATGTCGTTTGCTGCCCCCGGGTTTTTTTTTTTTTGGGGGGGGGGGGGTAATAGTGCATCCCCAAAAGGGAAAATCTTCCTTTATCTTTTATGGTTTTACTGAATCATCAGTGATGATTTTGTTACTCTGGTATGGTCATACAATTAGTTAGGGTGAAGGTTATGATGCTTCTCATGCTAGCTCCTGTCCAACCTCTTCTTTTGTCGCCTCCTTTTCCATATAGTACCTTTAACGTGAACCATATCACTCCTTACAAGTGTAATTGTTCCTCTTTTGTTCTTTACTAAAGAAACCGCTCAGTGATTTTCTGTCATCTTGTTTGCGGTTGATGCTAGAATTACATTAACGACTGCACTAGTTTCTATTACTATAATTTCCTCTTGTTGCCCTCCATAACTTTGAACAACTTCGTTTTATCTAAGTTCGTCTCAAGATGTCTATTGGCTGCCCTGCATAAATACCACAATGCATAACTAGCCTTATGATGATCTATGTTGTTTCTAACCATGCGTGTTCTTTATGTCATCAATATTTGTTCTGGTCCTATTCAACCTCTGGGCTTCGGTTGTTTTTCTGCAGTCTTTATGACAGCATTTACTTTCCTTTAAGATGATAGCATAGGGCTTCTGAACTTATAGGAAAAGACTTGGTTATCGACTGGCATATAATCATTGACTGATATGATGCAATTTTTTTCAAAAACCTTTTCTACCTAAAGAATTATGAGATATTTCCAGTATTTTTGCAAACTTCTTGTTTGTACCATTTTTTTTTAACGAAAGGTTTTCTTTGTGAATATTTTTAGGGTTCCTCACAGGTTATTCTCTTAGCCTCCTGTGCTAATAATTTATTTTTCTCAGTTTTATCCATCTCTCTCTATCTTGTGTGTGTGCCTGATTGTTTATAAACTTTGTATTAGGCTAGTAGCTTATCAGCACACGCTTTAGGTGTTAAGCATCCTCATGTTGTAGATTTTGTTCTGCAGGTGGAGAAGTGCCCTTTTGTGGAGAGCTTTCTTCACAACAGCTATTGTTGCAATAGTTCTCCGGGCTTTGATTGATGTCTGTTGGAGAGGCCAGTGTGGACTATTTGGTACTGGGGGTCTGATAATGTATGATGTCACCTCAGTAGATGTTGCCTATCACCTCAGGGATGTGCCTTCTGTTATTATTCTTGGAGTTATAGGGGGCATATTGGGAAGTGTATACAATTTTATTTTACATAAAGTTCTCCGAATTTACAATCTAATTAATGAGTAAGCTTTTACTTTAGCTTTGTGGTCCTTTGCGTTTATAATCAGTGCTTTCAGACATTGCAGAACACATATTTACATCATTCTTCTAACCATTTTCAGGAAAGGCACTGCTTACAAAATACTTCTTGCCTGTTCCATCTCCATTTTCACATCCTGTCTTCTATTTGGATTACCATGGCTTGCACCTTGCCTACCTTGCCCACTTGATGCAACAGAGCCGTGCCCAACGATTGGTCGGTCTGGTAACTACAAGAAATTTCAATGCCCTCCTGGTCAGTACAACGATCTTGCCAGCCTCTTTTTCAATACAAATGATGATGCAATCAAAACCTATTCAGCAAGGACACCGACTCTGAGTTCCACCACACATCAATGCTCATATTCTTTGTCACCTGCTTTTTTCTCAGTATTTTTAGTTATGGGATTGTGGCGCCTGCGGGTCTCTTTGTACCTGTAATTTTGACAGGTGCATCTTATGGACGTTTTGTTGGAATGCTAGTTAGTTCCGGGTCAAATCTTAACCATGGCCTGTATGCCGTCCTTGGTTCTGCTTCTCTTCTTGGTGGGTCTATGAGGATGACAGTTTCCTTGTGTGTTATTATCCTAGAGTTGACCAATAACCTATTATTGCTACCCCTAATAATGCTAGTTCTTCTTGTCTCCAAGACTGTAGCTGATGCCTTTAATGGGAATATTTATGACATTATAATGAAGTTGAAGGGTTTTCCCTACCTGGAAGCTCATGCGGAGCCATACATGAGGCAGCTGATGGTTGGTGATGTAGTCACAGGCCCACTTCAGGTCTTTCATGGCATTGAGAAGGTTGGTACCATAGTACATGTTCTCAGAACTACTGGACATAATGGTTTTCCTGTGATAGCTGAGCCTCCACTTTCAGAATCCCCAGTTTTGTTTGGTTTGATCCTCCGTGCGCATCTTATCACGTTGCTGAAGACGAAAGCTTTTTTGCATGCACCAGAGCCAATTGATGTTGATGCTTTTAAGTATTTCTCAGCAAATGATTTTGCGAAGAAGGGTTTGGTCAAGATGACAAAATTCAAGATATAGAACTTACTGAGGAAGAGATGGAGATGTTCATTGATTTGCATCCTTTCACTAATGCTTCACCATATACTGTTGTGGAGACAATGTCACTAGCAAAGGCTCTCATACTTTTCCGAGAAGTTGGTTTAAGGCATCTGCTGGTGATACCTAAAATTTCTGGGGTATGAGACTTTCTTCCTATCTGTTTGCTTTATTATTTCAATTCTCTGGGAGAAATATAATCTTAGGCTACTCTAGAATATGCCATTATTTTCACTTGACAGGTGCACAATGGTGGTGGCTCTAATTGGGATGATTTTCTACCTGTTTGTGTTTGCTCAAAATTCTTCATTTTGGTATTTGTAGTCACATTGCAGTAATTAACCTATTATATCTGCTTCCAGAGAAGTGCAAATAATATTTGATGCACTACCATCTCATAAAATATACCTTTTCTCCTGCTCTTTTATTTTATTTTATTTCTCATTTCTTGATTGTGAACTTCTGTGTTTTGTTGATATCCTTATTTCCATGACCTCTAACACTGCTTTGTTTTCTGTAGTTCTTCTTACTTACTCTGCGGAATAATGTCAAGTCCAAAATTTTCTGGATTTCTTTCTATCTTCTTTTTTCTTTTCTTTTTTTATTTGAATTCGATAAGATATTCTGGCTAAATTAAAGCCAGTTTAGGCAATTATATATTTGTGTGAGGTGACCTTCTGGTTGTCTCCACCTTCCTTGTCATGCATTTTTCCTTGGATTTTTTTGTTTTGCTTTCTGTTTCCTTTTCAAATGACCTGCCCCCATTGTCAATTACACAACAGCATTTAAATGCTATATTTCTCTCCTTGCAGAGATTACCTGTCGTCGGTATATTGACAAGGCATGATTTCATGCCAGAACATATATTGGGCTTGCACCCTTTCTTGGTGAGGAGCAGGTGGAAAAGATTGAGATTCCGGTTTCCCCTTTGGAACAAAATCTTTTAGGGCATCTCATCCAAGCATCAGAATTGCTCCTGGTATAAGTTTGTGGATGCTTCTTGGCTTCATAAGGCTATGGACAGATCCCAGGATCGATATCATTATTCTTTTTCAATCATATTGTGGAAGTCACAGGGCATTTGGTGAGTCTGACATCATGAGATAAGATTGTATTGTGTGAGTGAGTAAGCCGTTGTATGGGATAATCGATAGCTCTTCCTGATTTGAGGAGCTGGTATGGTGAAATTAGTTGGTTCTAAATTACGAGAGGCTACCATTACAGTGACCAATGGCCAAAATAAGTTTACTCAAGATTATGTACAGCGGTCATCGGATATAGTCTATTTTGTATAGACAAAAATGTAATACTGCTTACCATGGCAAAGATTATTGCATGATTGACCAGATTACTGTTACAATGGCTATTGTCTCCTTATTTTCATTGCTATTACTGTTGACATTCTGACATTTAACATTTATGAAATTTTAGACATTATTCTTGTGATGTTACAGGCTTCCAGATGTTTGATAATACTCGATAGCTAAGGGCTAAAAACCTCGGGCATGTTTAGTTTGCGTTTTAAAAAATAGTATTCGAAAACAGTTTTTGAGAAAAGTTTTAAGAAAATGGTTTTGATATTTTTTGAGATAAAATTTTTTTTTGGTTAGATAATTTCATAAACAATTTTGCAGTACAGAAAATAGTAAAACCTGGACAGTATATATGTTTGAACAATAATTCAAACATTAATAAAAAATATTTAATAAACTAAACTTTAAAATATATAATATAATATGTTATAATAATATATATTATATATAATGTAGATGTAGATGTATATTATATTATATTATATATTATAATATCTATTATATAATATATTGTATATTACGAGAGAGGAAAAAGTTAAAAAAAAAAAAAAAGGGAATGAAGAAATTTGCTACTAAGGAGACTCGAAGGGCAGATCTCATTAAAATTCAAAATTGTTCTCATTGTTTTATGTTTCTTTGACTCAAATTTCATTTTTTTTCAAAATTTTGAAAACAAAAATGCTAAACAAATAAGTTGTGTGTGTTTTTAAAATTTTAAAAACAAAAAACAGATTCTGCAAATCTAACCAAAACATGACCCTCATTTCTTTCTTCTGAAAATCCTAGGGAAAAAATTCCTTCTCTCTGGTTGGATTTCATCCCTATCCATTCTTAATTTGACGCTATCAATCCTGCAGTCATCATCATTCCAATGTACCTTCTGGCCATCTTCTTTAACTTATTCTTTTTCCTCTCGAGCTGGAGAGAATATTCAATACAATAATAATACAATTTCAAATTGGCAAAGTGAACTTGACTTCGACTTGAGTAGTTATTGTCTTAGATGGTAAAAGAGTAAATAATTATTTGTATATATGAACATTTAATTATTCATTTGTGTAAAATCTATTTTTTTATTTATCAGTATATTATTAGTTGATAATACAACGTAACAATAATGACAATAGCATCATCGTTACAATAAATATTTTTTCCTTGAGCTGGGTCTGGATTAGGCCGCCTTCAAATTGTTCTTAGTATCTCTTTTGCACCAGGAAATCCAAATTGGCCAGTGGGAACCCTCACAGAGCCTAATTTTTATTTCACACAATTTAATTTGGCACTTAGGATTTCTGAATTCTCCATTAGAAGTTTCTCAGAAAATAAAAAGCAGCCAAACAAGTTTTAAGAATGATAAATGGAATTAAAAAAGAGAGAGAGAGAGAACACCCAAGTACATTTTGTATGAAGAGGTTTTTTATACAATAAGTAAAATATAGTTTTGAGAGTCTGAAAAGCCACTCCCAATTTGGCGTTAATTACTCTCTCCTTCCACTCCTTAGATACTCCATTCTAATTGCCCACAGCTGTTCTCCCGCTACCTTCATGTCTGGACGATCCGATCGCGTCGGTGCTGCACAGTGGATTGCCAAACCAACCATCTTCAATAGGATCTCCTGGTCTACTGCTTCATTCATTAGAGGGTCCACCAACTCCATTACATTTTCTTCATTGTACTTTTTGAAGGCCTACAAACAAACATATCGTCAGAGTTTTGTACATAAACAAGCAAATGGTTTGGTGAGATATGTAACTTTGTGGCAGTTTGGTGGATATCTAATCGAGACATTTTGAACCCTTTTCCTCTCACCCTCCCCCTGTCTGGTTCAGGAAAGAGTCGATACTAGAATCTTTCTTCGAAGAAAGGTGGATAAAAGCTGTCCCGCCTCCCCTGCAAGGAGGCAGCATTGCATTCTGCTTTTAAGAAGCAGGATTCAACTGTATCCGATGATCATGCACTCATGCTACATTCTATATTGTAGTCCCCTAACAAAAATGGTCCAGAAATCAAATTCCCAGCATTTAGATGGCACATACGCATAACTGAACTAAGGTCAGCTGGGTATGAAATGTGGATACTATGGTAATTTCCAACAGAAGTTTGAACAGGGTTTTCTAATAAGTACATCAAAATTCAGGTAATGAAGTTCCCATGCTAATTACAACAATGCACTTTGTATGAACCGACTACCTCCAACACATAGTGGTCCCTGGTTTTCGTAAGAACTAATTGGTAAGTCTAGGATCAATAATATGACAATAAAACCTAACTAGTAAGATTCCGTGACACTCAATCTTAGGCAGCTAGTCCAGCCAACTTGTGAAAATAGGTTGAGGTGTGTGCTGACAGCTGACAACCGATTGCACCAGGGTCAAAATGGGAAGAGAAAGTGTCTTGCCAAGCCCTTAGTGGACCAAATTACACTTTTGTTTGCATCCTAAATTGGTTCTATGTAGATTAGTGTGAACTACATGGATTATACCTCACTTGAAGTTGTAGCCCTAAAAAAGTGGTACAAGGTATCATTGAACTGGTTCCACGGTGTTCGCCACCCAGATTACCAGTGGTTTAAGCAAAATATGAACTGAGATCACAGTAGTGTCTTTAGTTTCCTGGGGGGGCTAATGTAGTTTTAGACTTGAATAAGCACCTCCAGTGAAGTGCAATGTCAGCATTGGGAACTTTATAAGGTCTGGGTGATGCCTTTGTTGCACTGAAAATTGGGGTGTCCAGAATAAATATTGTCAAGAGAAAATGAGAAGCTTACCCATCTAAGTGTCACCCTCTCATCAGTAGGTCTGTTTGATTCCACAGGACGACGGCCCGTCAGAATTTCTAATAATAAAATCCCAAATGAGAACACATCGCTTTTTGTGGTGAGTTGATGAGTCCTCATATACTCTGGGTCAAGGTAACCTATTGTCCCCTTCACTTTGGTTACAATATGTGTTTGATCATTGTCCAGCTCTCCAAGCTTTGCAAATCCAAAATCGGCAACTTTTGCTCTCTTGCTCTCTGTCAGAAGAATATTGGATGACTTAACGTCACGGTGAATAATTGGCTTCTCTGTTACAAGATCAACAAAATGGTAAGCATTAAAGATCCAAGATGCTCAGACCCACAAAAAAAAAAAGGAACAAGCAAAAAAAATCCAACATATAAAGTGCAAGGGAATGCACATTAAAACAGGATAACATGCATGAACACTTCTATAGGCGTTGGCCTCAGTTTTTTCTTTAGTATTTATTGATACATGTTGGGCAATAGTTTTTGCAGTATTAGCTTCATCATTTTAGGCCGCCAGCAAATGCAACATTCTCTCAACGACTAAAAAATATCCAACATGAACACCGTACTTGTGAGCTTGCATTTTTCTATTAGTCAAGAAAGATATTTGAAATATATTTCTCTGGATTTTCATTATCTCTAAACCAAATAAAACTCCTCCAAAAAGGATTTTCTCCACAGATATTTTGATTGTGAGCTCCATGGATAATAAGAACCTATTGTCTTCACAGTTACATGTATAGTATTTCTTCTCATTTTGACGCAACAAGGAAGGCCACTTGCATCTTCAATGCTTGTGATTAGACCTGGTTAGTCAAGGCTCTGACACAAATTCACATGGGGGAAGCAAATGATAACAAGGACAAATTGAAGCTCTCAATCCAGAATCAGAAAATTACAAAACGGGATTGTTGAATTCAGTGAAAAGAGAGAAACTCAGGTCCAAGAAGTGAGATGTATCTCAATTTGGCTTTTATAAATGTATAGCCTATTTGCATGAAAGATGAATAAAATATTCAAGTGATAACCCTCAAAAGATTACAGAAGTAACCTCACATGGTAGAGACACAAATTTGACAGTTAGAAGCAAAAAAATGACTGAACAAAGGAAAGTATGACTCGCACAATCTTAAACAAAAATGTAAATAATAGAGACAGGCCAGAGGTTGGATATCACAAAACTAAGCCCCAACTAACATAGGAGCATATGTTAGGGAATTCAACAGAGTAGTCCTATATAATTCAGCTAGTGCATGGTCTTCATTAATGGCTTAACTAACGAATACAAGGGTAGTTGTGAAGCCCACAGCACTTCCTGTCATAGATTCTATTTTTGTTAGCTAATAAGATGAAGCACGAGACAAAAAAATCTGGAAACAGGAAGCCACTATTCCAATCACTAAAAGTTGTAATCCCCATTGATTTTATTTTTCCTGACAGTTTTTATGTTTACTCAGGCAGAATAATTCAGCCTGATACTTGAATGACTTACACACACTAATCACAGAAACAAATTAACAAATGGAGAGTGTCCTCACCTGCATATACGTGGAGATAAGTTAGGGCATGAGCAACATCAATAGAGATTTCAAGTCGCTGATTAAAATCCAAGATTTTGCCCCGCTGACCTGCCAGGAACAGCAGCCAAACTATGAGCACTAAAGTTCCACCACAATTGAAATATTGGCTAATCATTTAGAGTTTGAAAACATTACCATCAAGATGTTCTCTAAGAGTCCCATTCGGCACATACTCCGTGATGAGAATACGCTCACTTCCTTTATCGACATAGCCAAGTAGCTTCACTAGATTTCGATGTTCAATTTTTGCCAGGAGTTCAACTTCACTTCTGAATTCAGTTGCTAGAGTTTCGGAGTATTCCTGTTCAATGGTTATATCTTGATATATGCACATCATGATATACTTTCGAAGGAAAACATTTGATAATGATCTATCTATACAAGTAAAATCTTGATGCTTTAGTGGGCACAACTACACTAAAATTATTGAACAGTCATTTTTGTTTCAAATCCCGAAAGATGATCTATAATGAGCAAATTGGGAATCCTACACCAGAAATTACTTCAGATATAGTAAGTATCCCCAACTAAGGTAGAGAAACTCCTTTTTCTTAATTGAAGCATAGAATTTTATCCAGCCAAACAGATCACCAAAAATCGAAGAAGAAAACAAAAACAATGATATATTCCACAGATTTGTTTAATTTATTGTGTTTGAAAATTTGTACCTCAAAAGGTTATCTTCTATAGCTCTTGCTAAATGGTGAAAAGGAACATGTGCCATTATCTTTTAAGCTGCTGAAAGAGTAGCAAAATGCTTTCTACCATATGATACTTTCTATTTCTTTTATGCATCTCACATCACTTAAAATTTATTTCCTTCTAATTTTTTTTTTCTCAAAGCTTTTGAGGAAACTCCATTCATCTAATTTGGATATTGTTAGGAATATGTTTGTAATTGACTAACTTCGTGAAGTATTGTATAATCTCAACTTAATTCCATCGTGATGTAGTTCCAAAAACCAAGATCCGTAAGCATCAAGGAAGGAAGGAGTTCAAACTACAAGGCCATATCATGAGTTCTTCAATGCACCTTCAAATTTAGAACAAAGGTAATGATTTAAAGATATAGATCCCTTGGTTTAATTTTATACTTAGGATGATTAGGATTATGAAAATGAAATTGGAAAAATCCATAAATGACTCCTAGGGTTTTTCATTGCAAAAGTTTTTCTAAAAAACCTTAATTGTGTTTTAAAAAGATAGATTTAGCCATTGATCGGACCCTACTTGAGCAACGCCTTTTAGTGCTAAAAAGAACTAGTTTTACTTTGATTTTCGGCTTTGAAACTAGTAAAGACTGCCCTTTGCTCACTTACTTTCGACTACAGAGGTCTCCAAACATTGAGTTGGGCAGTGGGGACCACCCTTTGGCCCCAACTTTGGCCTAATTCCGAGCCTATAAATAGGGGAAGTATTCTAAAGCTAGGGTATCTCTTTTGTGACATATTTTTAGCCTCCTAAACCTTAAGAGATCATCTAAAAATCCTAAATCCCAAAGACCAAAGGTCATCCATCTTGAATCTTCTATTAAACTTCACACATTGAAGTAGAAGTTCTTGCTTGGAGTTGCAAAACCCATTGAAAGAGTGTGCATCCTGAGGACCTTGGTGTAGAAGGTCGCTTACAGAGTCTAAACTATCCATTGTAGTGGAGGAGGAGTTCAAGTGAATCTGTCCATAGCTCTAATGGGGGAATTCGAATGAGAGATTTATTGAAGGAAATGAGTATCTAACCACGGTATTGGTTGAGGTATAAATTCTCAAGTACTTGTCAATCGATTTGGGTTAATGAATTTGGCTTAGTGAACCCCGAGTGGTTTCCTGCAGTTTTTTTTGGGGGGTTTCTGCATCAACAAATTGTTTGTGTTTTTTATCGCTTTAATTTTGCCTATACACTTGCAATTCACACACACGCTTAATATGAGTTTGAATGAATGATTGGTTGTCTATCAATTCATTAAAAAGGATTATGTAATCAAAGGCTTTGGTGCGACCGTGGTCATGGTGAGTTAGAGTGTAAATCAATCAATTGTCATATCTTTACATCTCATCATATGACGGGATTTTTGGGTTGAGAAAAGGGGTTCAAGAATTCAATTGACAAGTTAACTTTGTATTTGGTAATTGTGATGGGTTAGGTTTAAAATTGGTGATTGTTTGTGCCATAATTTGAGTTAACCTATTCACCTCCCCTCTAGGTAATGTTTAGCATCCCACATATAGAATCGTGAGGAAGGGAATGATCCACCAGACATCTCGTTTCCCCAAATATAGATGGAGTTTTCTTTATCAAAATCTTCAGCTGGGGTAGACTGCTCCACATGGATTGGAACAATAACAAAACATGTTCTTATGACAAAATAAAATGAGCAATTATACTGTCACGAGAGCAGAATATTATGTAGAGGCAGTATATTCAAAGTCATAAAAAGATGTAGCTTACCTTCTTTGCTCGTTTTATGGCAACTACCTGGCCATCTGGTAGCTGAGCCTTGTAGACAGTTCCAAACCCTCCTTCACCTAACTTAGATGTTGCTGAGAAATTGTGAGTAGCTCTAGCAACCTGATTCATATTGAGATGAACTGATCCAACTCTATTAAGCTTTGGCGAAATGGAAAATCTAGAAGGACTAGGTGGCACTCGCGTTGGACTTGCTGGAATCTTTTCAGCAACCGAATTCATTTCCAAAGACGAAACGGAATCCACTACAAGAGCAACATAATTTAAACATAAACATTGATGAGACTAAGCAAAAATGTATCAGAATGAATGCAAGATAACTAAAGAAAGAATATATGTTATAAATGAACTGCATAACTGTCATTTTTCACATAGAACAGATGGGGCAGAATTTTTCAACAACTGATTACTTTCTCCAAATTAACTTACTCAAATCATAAATGTCCATGTATATCAGTGGCACTCATTCACTGTTAGTGGTTTTTTCTTTAATTATTTATTTAGTTTTGGATTTCACTCACTTGAACTTTGTTCCTTCACAAGAACAACATGGGAAGTATCTCTCCTCCTTGCCCGAAAGCAGGGGCAAAGTAAACTGCAACACAGAATGAAAACTCCTGGGACTGCCATGGCCAACCTATTTGTGGTCAAGAGAGATTTGTGAGTATCTTTTTCTTTATTCGCCTGGCTTTTCTGACCAAAATTTTGTCCTGTAAATTCTTCTCTACCCGCCTCCCACAAAAACTTTCTTCCTGCCACCAGGCGTAACTCATCTGCAGGATAATACAAAGAAGTACTATTTCAAACAAGGTATCAGCAATCAACCATAACCTACGCATCTAAAACCATGAATAAAATAGCTGCATTTTTCCCTAACGATGCTGGATGAGATGATTTGCTGAAAGAAACCTCAAAGCAAAATTTCATAATTGTGCAGACCTAATGAATGATCTGATCGGCAGTATTTATTTCTGAGGTCTCCTATATTGAAGCAATGATTTGCATGGAACAATTTGAGGGCCTTGCAGAACAAATCCTTGTTTACCAATTTCCCATTTATGTATAACAATTCATGACCAGGACCACTTGAATAGCTGAGATGATAATTTCCACAAGGCTTCGAGTGTATCAACAACCCAGAGGTAACTCCTCTAGACAATTGCACCAACATAGCAGACTCAACACAATGGCTGCTGCTCTCAACGAACATAACTTCCAATTTTCATGTTTCAACACCAAGCATTAA